AATACATATCTATTGTAAGATTGTTTTTATGAGTTAATAATGAAATAATTTAATTAGTTGAACTAAAGGTGCTCACGTTGTTGATATGCAGAGATGTTCAAGAAATTCATGGGTGAGAAAGGAAATTTCAAGGAAGATTTAGTGAATGATGTGCTTGGAATGTTGAATCTATATGAGGCTGCACATCTTTGTGTGCATGGAGAAGATATCTTGGATGAAGCCATTGCATTCACTACCTCACACCTTGAATTGATGGCAACAAAAGTAAGCCCTTTGCTTGCAGAACAAATAGGTCATGCCTTGAATCGCCCCATCCAAAAAGGCTTACCAAGAGTAGAAGCAAGGCATTACATATCTTTGTACTCAAGAGATGATCATTTCGTCTCCTCTAATGCAGCACTGCTTAAATTTGCAAACATCGATTTCAATGTGCTACAAGCGTGCCACCTAAAGGAGCTGAGTGGCATTATGGAGTAATTTTTTTTTTCTGCAATAAATAAACTTCTAACAAAGGAGAAATATTGTCTTAGGCTTTTGAATTTGGCTTGGTATTTTAGGTGGAGGAAAAAATTGGATTTTTATACAACAAAGATGCTTTATGCAAGGGACAGAGCGTTGGAGTGCTATTTTTGGATATTGGGAGTTTACTTTGAGCCTAAATACTCCTTAGGAAGGACTTTTTTGACTAAAGTAGCAAGCTTGACATCTATTTTGGATGATACTTATGACAACTATGGGACAATTGAAGAACTCGATCTCTTGACCAAGTGTATTGAAAGGTTACATTCTTTACTTTAATGATTATTTTAGTCAAATCATTTGAATATATTCACATATTTCAAAAATGGAATTCATAATTTTCATTGATGACCTTAGGTGGGACATTGGTGTCATAAATCAACTTCCAGAATATATGAAATTGATTTATCAGGTACTTTTAAACACTTATAGTGAAATGGAAGCGGAGGTTGCAAAAGAAGGAAGATCATATACTATGGATTATGCAAAAGAGTCCGTAAGTAACTACTTGCTATATGACTGGATTAATTCAGGTTATGTGGACTTTGGATTATTTATTAATTTCATGTGTAAATTAATTTCATGAATAGATGAAACGAGTAATGAAAGCTTACATTGATGAAGCCAAGTGGCGCCAAGAAGGCTTCATTCCACCCCTAGAAGAGTATATGCAGACAGCCCTCATAACTTGTGCATATCCAATGCTCATAACAAATTCCTTGGTTGGCATGGGAGAAGTTGCAGCCAAAGAAGCCTTTGATTGGATCTCTAATGACCCTAAAATGGTTAAAGCTTGTGCAATTATCTGTAGACTCATGGATGATATTGTCTCGCATGAGGTATGCTCTACCTAAGTATGCATACTTAATTTTTCTTGATTAATTTTATGTAATTCAACCTATATAAAAGCTGTCGATAGGACTATAAATGATTTCATAGATTTATATTGACATGTAAATATTTATGCAGTTCGAGCAATCGCGAGTTCATGTTGCATCCGCTATTGAATGCTATATGAAGCAATATGGTGCTTCAAAGGAAGAGACAGTGAAAGTGTTTCGAGAAGAAATTGACAATGCATGGAAAGATGTCAATGAAGAGTTCATGAAACCAACAGCTCTTCCTATGCCTATCCTGACTCGAGTTCT